TGACGAAGGAGCGGCTGGAGGAGCCCCTCCAGCCCCTGCCCGAGCACGACTACTTTGAGTTCTTCGCCAACGACTCCAGGTAGGGCCGCCGGTCCCCCTCTTCCCCCCGCCCCCGGGAGCCACCGCTGCCGCCAGCTGGGCCTCCGGAGGCGTCGGCCCCCGGTCAGCCTGGCTCTCGGTCTTGCCTTTCCACAGCTTGTACCCTCACATGTTCTCGAGAGCCTACATCAACTTTAAAAACCAGGAAGACATAGTCCTCTTCAGGGATCGCTTTGACGGCTATGTTTTTGTCGATCACAAAGGCAAGTGAACGGCGCCGGCCTGGGTGTTTGCATCCTTCCTGGTGTGTGTGCAGTGTGCTGGTTGATTTCAGAGGGATGGGTGCAAGCAGTCTAACATACTGCTTCTGAGTTGTGTGATCTCACAGAATGGTCAGGGTTGGAAGGGACCTCTGGAGATCATCTAGTCCAACTCCCCTGCCAGAGCAGGGTCACCTACAACAGGTTGCACAGGACAGTGTCCAGGCATCTTAGTGCCTTAAACAAATATCATGCAGTATTTCAAAGAACTAAGAACATCTCTTATGCTTTGTGGAAACTAATCAAATTAATTTTGTGTATTTATAAATTGATTTGATTATATTGCATATAAGACCCAGTTAAGTGTACATCAAGGTAGTAGTGGTATCAATATAAAACCAGTTGTTGTGTTACTGAAGTTAATACTTGCATTGTCATACATGAGTATAAAGTCTGAAAAGTGAAAGCAGGTGGGTGGTGTCGCTGTCCAAACTAAGTGAAGCTTACGTTAATGATGTCACCCTCTGCCACTCCCCTCGCCTGCTCTGTACACTTTTATCAGTGAGACTTATTTTGTGGTCAGTTTTTAATTCAGATTATTATTTGTTCCAGTTTACAACTTGAGTGAGTCATCTTGATTCAGTAAAAGGAACAGCTTGTTCTTTGCAGTTTAAGTTGTGAAAGTGACTGATCTCTGGAGACATTAATCTGTAGGAAACAAATATTTTGTTTAATTCACTGGTTAAACATGGAAGTATTTAGTTGTCAACTTTTTTCTAAATACTCACTAGGTATTCATTGCATCTCATTTTTAAATTTTGCATTTCGAAATTGCTTACATTGGGAGGCACTAGAAGTTTTTAGTCTGTCATTGGTAGACCTTAAATTTACATATTTAGCAAAAATTTTAACAAGAGTGTTCCTGTTGGCTTTGCTAGGCTAAGGATTTCACCTTAAATTTTGTTTCAAGTACATGTGTTTTACACTTCGTCCAGCCAGGTGTTTTATGTGACACGAAGCTCTGTTCACAAGATTCTTCCTTATTTAGGAGGACTGCGTGACAAAGTTCTAATAACATGTAGATCTTTTAAATAAGCTGGTTTGCAGTGTAACAGCACACTGTGTTTGCCATACACAACAGCAATATTGGATTTATACAGCCATAAATGTAGCATTCTTGTCAGAAGATAAAACTTTAAAGCCTGCCTCTAATGCATTGTGTTCTATTGTATTTTGCCAAAAACTGAGAATTGCCTCAATTGTATTAATTTAAAATATTCTGTTCTACTTGCACAACAAATAGGTAGTCTGTAGGATGAGGATATTATGTGATGCAGTGTAGCTAAAGTGGCTGAGCTGACAGTTATGGGTAGTCTTAAATCTAGTATTTCCTTCTCGTCGTGAGTCTGAGTTTGTCGGTTTGTTAACAGAGAGTGTTGAATTCTGCTGTCTCTAAATTATTTTTTTTTTATTAAATGTCTTTCAAAATAAAAGATTTCTTTTATGCTGTCCAAGTAGTTTGTTCTAGTATTGCATATTTCTTGTGAGGCTTATCTTCCTGCTTTAGACAGGGACAATATAGTCTCTTTTATGTCTATTTCATCTCTATTTTAATGTATTTTTCTCCCCTCCTCTTAACAGGTCAGGAATATGCTGCCATAGTTGAGTTTGCACCTTTCCAGAAAGCTGCAAAAAAGAAGAGTAAGAAAAAGGATGCCAAAACTGGAACTATCGAAGATGGTATAACAGCTAGCTAGTTTTTTTTGCCTGTGTAGGCTTTTGGAAGTCCTAGCAGTAATTTGGATATAATGTTTTGACTGTGACACTGTACTTTATCAATAGAATGTTTGCTAAATTATATATGAAGCTTATTAGCACTGCTTTGTCAGCTGCCAGTCTATTAAATGTGATTGTCTCAGACAAACATAATGCAGCAGTTTGTTTGAGAGCTGCCAACTTACGAAAAGGTGGCATACAAACAACACAACTTATGTAAATCTAACCCTGACTTCCAGCACTGTGCAATGCAAATTCTTTTCATGCTACATCCCCCCCCGCCCCTTTCCCCTCCCCTGTAGATCCAGAGTACAAGAAGTTTTTGGAAAGTTACAGTGCAGATGATGAAAAACTAACCTCCACTCCTGAAACTTTGTTGGAGGAAATAGAGGCAAGAAACAAAGAGCTAATAGGTATGGAAATCTATGTACTACAGTTATGTTTTCCTAGAGCACAAAGAAATATATGTGGTGTAATTTGAAGCTGTGATTTCTTAATCTTGAGGAGGCTGAGTTCTTTTGTGTGCTTGCTTGGTATTTGTTAAACCTTTAGGCTAATCTTATTCAGTGTATTTAATTTTGCTCTCATGCTCCAAATTCTTCTCTAGGTTTAAGATTTATATGATGACCTTCCTTCTTGTTTTAAACTGCTAATCAGATGTTTGTTAGCCAGACTAGTCTGTGGAGTGGCTGCATTTCGGTGAGATGCAGTGATGTTTAATGCAAAATGCTGTGAGCGGTGAGGTTCCATGCAGGCACAAGTGAAGAGATATTGTGGTTGGGTAAAATACCACAAAAATGACCAAAATGCTCTTTTTAAGCATGTTAAAGGTATCTCTTTCAAAGCAAGAAAATCTGGGAAAAGCCTAATGCAGACTGAATATCCCTTTACAGATTGGTGTACTGGATATCATAATATTAGTGTCCTAAAGAAGTTTATAGAATCCTAATAGTTGCCACTGTTCAGGGATAGGATTGGAATACTTGTTTCACCGCTGTATACGAGAGGAGATAGGCTGGATAATCCGTAAGGCTTCTTCACTTCACATAGGGTTTTGTTGTAGGTATTGCAGTATTGGATAAGGTAAATTGTTTACATTTGTTTTTATATATTCTTTAGCTAAAAAGACTACTCCTTTATTGAACTTCTTGAAAAATAAACAGGTAAGACTTATCTCCAGAATCTTCTTGTTGCTTGTGAGTACAATTTGCTCATTTAAAGCATGAGTGTGTATATTGCAATGTGTATCTTGATATGTTTCTGTCGTTTCTTTTGAAGAAACAGCTTTTGACCCAACTTCCTCGTTAACATCTGGTTCACATGTTTTAAGCTACTAGAATGCTGGCCTTTGTAGGAATGGTGGTGCTTCATGTGCATTCTGGTCACAGCTAAACATCTCTGTGGCAGTGCCAAACCAGATCCCATTTTAATGCTTTCATTTTTAATGCAATTATGGCTGAGGGACTTGTAGATGATCTTTCTCCTAGCACATAATCTCATTTTAACTTTTAGCAATGGAGAAAATCACAAATGGGGCAGATTCAATGAATGAATTCAATGAAACTTAGAATGATAAAGGCTGAGGCTAGTGTTATGTTTGGGGTTTTTTTAAGACAGTACAAATCAAGGCTTATGAGTGAGGGGAAAAAAATGAAATGCTGCTGTAACATTCAGGTTCACAACAAAACAGCAGAGATGTCAGGACTTTTTCTTTTATAATAGGGACAGTTTTGAGGTGAGTTACTTGCTGATGAAATACTTTACCACTTTGTGGCAGGATATCTTGTTGGGCTTAAAGGGAAGTTTTCTAGTGTGGAAAGAACACTGTTTCTCTTTGCTTTTACACACACAGAGACTGAGAGAAGAAAAAAGAGAGGAGAGGAGGAGGAGGGAGTTGGAAAGAAAAAGACAAAGAGAAGAAGAAAGAAGAAAATGGAAAGAGGAGGAGAGAAGGAAGAGAAAAGAAGCAGAAAAACTGAAGAAAGTAGACAGATGCCCAGAAAAAGAAAGAGACAGATCAAAAGACGAACCAAAGATTAAGGTCTAGAACAGTTCTTTATTATAAACTGTTACACTTATTTTCCCCTATTATTTGTATATCAGTCTCTCAAAATGTGCTTTGAGTATTGTGTGAATAATCACAAGTTTGATGTTAGTAAGTTACCACTTTTTTGTAATATTCAGTATTAGGCATTGTAAAGGTTTACATGCTGTAATGCTTCATAGTAATATTTAAAGCTTTTGTCATGTGACTGTTGTACATGCTGTGGTAAACAGAATCATGAATTCACTATGGAATGGAGACTATTTTTAAGCTTTCTAAAATGGCCTGGTTTAGGAGAAAAATCCTAGTCTGCTCTGTGGATTATGCTTACTCATACACTCCAGCTTTTAGAAATACTGCGACTTGCAGTAACACTACTTTAATGTTTATTTCTTACTGGACTATGGTTCCTTTGATGCAATTTCGGTGTTGTGCCAGACAATATGTATTAGAGTGAGCTTTTTAGTTGAGACTTCTGTTTTCTTTGTAGCTACTTAAGAAGCCTGAAAAAGATGAAAAAGACTTGGAGAAAAAAGAAAAATCCAAGAAACTGGAAAAAGAGACTCTGAGGGAGGAAAAAAATGCGAGTAGTGCATCTGCCAAACGATCTGATGGGGAGACAAAAGAAGAGAAGGCAAAAAAGTATTCTAGTACTTGCTATAAATATATATATGTATATACAACTTGTTTCCTGATCGTACTGAGGCTTAGGCTGCTCTGCCATGACTATGTTTTGAAATTCCTTTCAAATTATTTTCCTAAGGTATGGGATGTGTTCTCTGTGGCAGTGAACATCCCTGCGATTACAGAAAGCTGTGTGAATTACCTGACAATTCTTCACTAGTGAACAAATCTTAATATTTTTGCATCTCACTGTAGGAACTCTGCAAAAGAAGCCCAGGTGTAGGTGACCTGCAGCAGGCTGTGAGCGCTGTCCTTGCAATGAGACAATTATAACCATGGCAAGAGGAGAGTTGTACTCCAGTTAGTAGTCCCTTTAAGTCTTGTAAGAGGTCAAAGTGGAAAGTGTCGTTCTCAACAGCTCCGTGGTCTGTTCAAGGTTCAGTTTTGCCATGTGAGAAATAGAGATGAGACAGAAATTCAGGTGTTTTCCAAAGCCAGAGGAGGCTCAGCCAGCGATCTGAGCAGAAGGCTAGGAAACGCTAGCAGTCAGTGTCATCTCTGGTTATCATGCATGACTCAGGTTATTACAGCTTCCCAAAAGCTCCCTAGAACCTACCAGTCTGTCGTCTTCATATTGCACACTTACACCACTATTACATTGATCTCCCAGCTCTGTTTGATGAATCTTTTGAGCTTCATTTTCAGTTTTGTTTTCATACAGATCAGAAGATGAGTGTGTAAAGGACTACAGGGACCGAGATAGAGATTTTGAAAGAGACAGAGAATATGAGAGAGCACAGAGGGAGAAACTGAGACGCCAAGAAGAGGAGCGTCGGAGGCAGAAAGAGCGCTTTGAGAAAGAGAAGGTTTTTAGAAGAAAAGAGGAAGAGGTGAAAAAGGAGAGAGACTTACTCAGAGAAAAGGGAAAGAAAAGTGATCTTACAGACTTTACCAGCAGCACGGACAAATCTGAAAAAGTAACCAAAGACGATAAAAAAGAGGATACAATTAAGAGGGATCGTATCAGAAACAAGGTGCTGGATTTCTTTAAATTCATGTGTTGATTCATAGGGACCAGTTAGTGGTTTTTAGGATAAAAGCACTTCAAGGAAAGAACCGTGTGGTTTCTCTATTGAAACTTCTCTCTCTTCCGGTAACAAACACTGCCATTGCTAGAAAGTTTGCCCGTTTGTCCATTAAACTTTGCTAAACTGTGATATTTCTTGTCACTGTATAGGAATTAAACCAAGATATCGTGGGCTAAATTGTAAAGACACTGATCCCTTTTCATTTGCTGACTTATGCCATAGGCTGTATCTTTAAGTTGTCAGTGGAGCATCAGTAATCTACCTGTATCTCTGCTGATGGTATACACGCCTGAAAATACATCTCAAAGTGGGAGTGTGATTGAATGGGTTCCTCCAAAACAGGGATGAGACTGCTACATGCAGAATAGGAAAGAAGAGCTGTAGACTTAAGAACTAATGTCTTGAGTTTAGTTTTATATATTCTGCAAATCTGTTTTTGAAGCATCAGTATGCAAGTTTTTCATGTTCCTTAAGGCATTATCAGGTATAAATGAAACTTGAGGTTCTGAAGAAGCTTTGAAGTTGGCCTCTATTCTGAGAGAGGGTGAGCTGAACTTGTCTCAAGAGGAAACTCTTTACAAATAACTCAAACTCCTTACAAATAATTTCAACTACGTGCAGTGTTCTTTGTGGCTTGAACAGGGGTGTTGCCTTTCAACAGAGACAACCTTGATTTGAGCCAGTTGAAGTTACATTGCCACTGTGGTGGAATAGTTTAGAACACCTTGCAAAGTTTGAATTTGAGCCATTTCTAATTACACTGATGGCATAATGACCATAATAGCACGGGGCTATGAAAGAGTCTAAATAATTCTGATTTATTTCAGGATCGTCCGGCAATGCAGCTGTACCAGCCAGGAGCCCGAAGCCGAAGCAGATTGTGTCAGTATGAAGACAGTGCTGCAAAGCCCGCAGATCAGGGAGTGGACAAGAAACAAGAGAGTGAGCCCAGTAATACGAAGGAGGAGGAGTGACTAGCATGCAAGCCTTATGTGTTCTGACTGTCTGTGCAGCCAAAGAGCATGTACTACGCAATCCAGAAGTGCCTTCGAAGCGAAGAAGGAACAAAGGAAGAAAAGGGGGCATTGTGCTGTTGGATGTTTCTGGTTAAATCCTCAGTTGTAGATTCAGAATTTGAAATGTGTTCTCATTGTATTTTCAGTTATTTGAGTTTATTTTCCCAGCATCTAACTACAACAGAGAAGAGAATCTTTGCAAAGTAGAAAGACTTTTTGGCCTTAAGTATGATAATAAATGAGTCATGCGGTCAGGAGGAGATGACACCTGGATCTAGAGCCAGAGCTTTCCTGTGAGGTGACCGGAGCCAGTCTTTGATGCACTTAAGCAGAGCGAGCTTGAAGTTGCCCGGAGTTAACACAGGTGTCGCTATGTTGTGTGGTGCTCCTGCCTGAGGCAATGGTAGCTAAATTGTGTCAGTCTAGCACTGAGACAGGTACGCAGGCTGGGGTTGTTGAGGTGCCGGTGCATGGGAGCACGAAAAGAGAATGTCTGGCCTTGCAGTAGTGATGTCAGGGAGGGAGAGACCTTCCTCTCCCGTGGTTCTCTGGATAAAGTAACTGAGTTGGAGTGTATGAATAAGCTGGCTTAATATTGGCTACTTCTTGTCAAATTCTCATGTAAAGTCTACCTACATTGACATGCTTATTTTGAATCAAATGTAGCTGGTTTGAGCATCCTGTTCTTTTCCAGCATTCTCCCTTCTTTCGAGTCTGAAACGTTTCCTAACTCCTGCCCTCTCAGTACTGCTTCGTCTTCCCTCGTAACCTGGAGTATTGTTTTACAGCCCAGAAAGAGACTTCACCAGTAGCAGCTCCTCCTAAGCTAGCGAATTTTAGCCATAGCTCTTTTGTACTGAACCCAATAAACTCGCAGAAACTCGTCTGCCGCCGCCGTCCCTCACTGAGCTCCGTCTGCGCCGGGGCGGGGCC